ATATAAAAGTTTAAAAACTATTTACTGTTCCTTAATTTATTCATTATTGTGTAGGGGTAATGTATTTTCTCTTAACAGCTCCCCGACTGTAGTCTCCACATCTGCACAATGAATCAATCAATACCTTTACCATACGCTGATATGTACATATGTAGTGGGTAGAACATATACCCGCATATTCTAATTAGTCGAGATTCCATTCTATAACACTCTCCCATCAAAAGTTACAGGTCAAATCTTCCGTGAACGGAATAGGTTAGAATATGAATCCCAGATCTCAACTGAGGATTACGCAATGCTACAACTTTTTATCCCGTACTTGGATGTGTTACGGTAACATAAAGCCGGTTTGTAAAAACTTATATTTTCATCAGCGGGCAGATATATAGCTTTATCCCATACTTGGACGTGTTACAGGTACATAAAGCCGGTTTGTAAAAACTTATATTTTCATCAGCGGGCAGATATAGCTTTACGTCCCGCTCCGACCGGGCAGATATAGTATATCTGCCCGCTACGTCATAATCGCCGCTCGCATATTTGTTCATAATTTGTAACGTTCGCGTAATGAATGTAAACGACAATGGAGAAAACACAGACAATCAGGATCTGTTTGATGGTTTCAAAAAGAGAAGGAGCGTCCACTTAATCAATCAGAAATTTGAGAAAATAAATGTGGGAATATTTGAGAGAACAGGAAAATCCGTCCACGGCCAAGAAAACTAAACTGGACATGAATATTCTAAAATATTTCCACGATTGAACAATGTTAACCAGCTGACCAAGATTGGTATGGGATAAACATATTATCCTATAGTCGGTTCAGGATATTGGGATTATCCCTTGGCCAATATAATATATTTTTCCTCGGGACCTGCGGCCCTCGGGCAAATATATTATATTTGCCTCGGGATAATCCCAATATCCTGAACCTCATATAGGATAATCTCTATTTACGTCCCGCTCCGAGTGGGCAGATATAGTATATCTGCCCGCTACGTCATAATTGCTGTTCTTTTTTGTAACGTTCGCATACTGTAAAAGACAATGGAGAAAAACGCAGACAATCGCGATCTGTTTGATGCTTTAAAGAAGGGAAGGAGCAGTATGCCCCGTTAATAATCAAAGATTTGAACAGGAAAATCCGGCTACGGACAAGAATACAAAACTGGACATGAATATTTTAAAATAATTCCATGGTTGGTTGCAAAGTTTCTGAACTTTGGCCAATTGAACAATGTGATTGGTATGGGATAAACAGATCATCCTATAGTCGGTTCAGTATATTGGGATTATCCCTTGGCCAATATGATATATCTACCCTCGGGACCTACGGCCCTCGGGCAGATATATTATATTGGCCTCGGGATAATCCCAATATCTTGAACCTCATATAGGATAATCTCTATGTATGCATCTTTAGTGAAATCATATCCATCCCATCGTGGTAAGCCACGCCCTCTCCATCTCTATCCTTCCGGAGTGTGATGCAACAGAGAGAGATGCTATGAGTATCAGAATGTATCCATCCAGATTAGCTGCTGTTTGAGCTACTAGATATAGTACGACTAACACTCGCGGCTGTTAATCTGTTAAATTGTATACAAAGCCGAAATTTCTCGAGTAACCCCAAAATTAAATTGTCGTTAAAATGGGATCTGTGACAAACTATGTAACATTAAGTACTTTTAGCTGTAGAGGGGCTGTCGTTGTTTTTGATACGCTGTATATTCCAATTCAAAGCATGTGTTGTTTCCATGTATTTTTCAGTCGTGTTTATATATTTTGGTGGGAATATTGTTATACTAGTCACATTTTGAGACAATCCAACAGTTACTTAAGAAGAGGGTTACGTTTAAACTAATTACTGCATTTTACTTTTGCTGCCCTAACTTGCAAACAGTTACTTTAGTTAAGTTGAAATTGCTGACTTTCACCCTTCCATTCCTTCTCGTAAAGAACTTGCAACGTCTGCAATGAAATAACTTTTACTTTGTACGACTGACAAAACAGGGGATACGTTGATACGATACTATCATCATGCCTCAGGAACCGGAGCCAGAACCAGAGCTGGACTCTGCCATAGCACCTACTGCTTCGACCACTGACTTCAACTGGGATGAGTTCTAACTTGGACAGGAGGTACATGTAGCGTAGGGTAGGAGGAGGCTGAAAAATCTTCCCATAGCATTGTGAGCTCAATGGTGATGATTGTCCTGCTGTGTTTTTGACATCAGCAACATGACAGGACGGAGCTTGATAGCTACTATCTCCTGTGGGAAGACGAGTTTCTGGAAGAGGCCAGTAGGTACCTTGGAAAGAATGTTAGACTAAAGTAGAGTAAGGGGAAAAATGGCTTCTAGGGGACATTTCTTCCTTCTTTGACGTAAGTCTTGGTCTTGTTCTGTCTTTACTGCTGTGTTTTAGACAAGTCTTTACTTGTCTACCCATTTGGCTATTTCTCGGAGGACCATGTCGCCATATGTATCGTCCATCAGTGAGAGATCTATATATAAGGGCAACTACTGAGTAGATTTAATGTATATACTTAGTAGCCACACGTGACAAAAAGTTTTTTTTGGTCTTTGGTCTCAGGGGCTGATTTTTATGAATTTTTAGGGGATAATTCTAATGAAAAGCCAGTTATAGTTATAATATTTAGATATCGTCGTATGAGAATAATAATGTCCCAAGTGCCATTTTTGAAAAAATGAGATTTTCACAGATTTCCACTATTAAAATCATCCTCTTTCTTACTATGATATTCCCTTACCTTTATCTCCTCTCAATAGCCTGCTTTTCGGTGTAAAATTATCCCAACTCCATAAAATTCAAAAATACAATTTGACTTTGTTCTATGTATCACTTTAACCAATCAAATTGTTTGAATTACACCATGTGACTAAGAATTATTATATTACAATTTTAAACTGAGATTTAAATTTATTTTTGAAAAAAAACGAATTGAGAAATCTGTGTCCATTGAAAATATAGCAAAATGGACATAGCTCAGCTTTAATCTTTCAATGTTATGAAAAACTCGGAATTGAATTGTCAAATATAAGTTGGGACATTTTTATTCTCACAGGGCGATATTTAGATAAAGATTCTAATCTTTAGAACTAGTATTAATTCGATACAACAGGCTGGCATGACAAGTTTATCACAATTGTAATTTTATTTGAATTTCACATCCAAGCTTACGTGGGAGAAACATGTTAATATTTGTTGTCATAATTGAAATTTCAACCAGAAAAACAAAGTAATTAAGTATTGTCCTATATACTATTAAGTCTTTTGACAATGTTTTAATGTTGTTTCGCAATGTGCTTATTTCTACTAACAATAGAGTTCGCATTGCATTTTGAACAATTGAAAAACATTAAATTAAGTGAATATTGTTATATACTTTTACAATTTTTTATTGCATTAAAAAAACGAGCAATAAAAATGAATATAATGCGATATCATTCAAGCTAGAGTGTTAATTCAACGTACGAAGTCAATAGCGTTCATAAGCATCCAAATACAAGCTGGGCCAAAAACTCATTTTTCTTTTTTATACTTATTTATCATAATTGTCTAACATTAATTAATAGGGTAGAAGATGTATCAGTGCATTGCCACATACCAAAAGTGTTCATTGGAAATATTGTATATAAAGTGCTTCTCTCAAAAAACAAGAATTTACGGCCTGAGAACAGCTAAACTCAATCTATTTTTATTATTTTCCGGTGTAAAAGGGTAGGAGGTCCTATCAAATTATGGTCCTACTCTCCATTGATTTATATGGTGACGTTAATACAACTCTTTCCATCATTATCTTATACGCAATCAGGGCCAGTAAGGGCCGTTAAGAAAGGGGACCATAATTCATGGGGGACCATCATTTCTTTCACACCGGAATACAAAGAATTACGTTTAGTGTGGCAAAGCGTTTTACATCAGATATTCATAATCAATAGTGATATCTGGCCTTAATTAGGACCGTTTTCATTTTTCCATTTGTTTTGCACAAAAAGATCGTACGACGAGATGTACAGGGTGGTCAAAAAACGGAAACCCTGGATTTTCCTCGTATCTTTGTCATTTTAGGAAATCACTCCCTGATACATGTAGTTTCACACATTTGTACATAATTCACTTTCTTACCACCCTACCATATTTCATGACCATTAGACTAATAGCCACAATTTTAGAACACTTTGAACAACATGCTTCGGGTTTAGGCATAATCGCATTGTAGTCAAAACCTGCACAGTTGCCCGAATGCATTCCTCAGCAGGTATGGCCTGAATGCTGAATGACATCGAGTATCTCACTTTTGAGGTTTGCAATAGTATTGAGGTTATTCTCATTCACTCTATTTTTGTCCACAGGTAGGGACATGTTGGACTACGTGTGTAGGTTTGCCTCAAGCGCAATAGTGGCCACTTTGGCATATGTTCTCTAAAGTGCTACAACATTGTGACTATCACTCTGATGGTCATGAAATATAATAGGCTGGTAGAGAATTGAATGATGTACAAATGGGCAAAACAGCAGGTAGTTATTTCTTAAAATGACAAAGATATGAGGAAAATGGTACAAGTGTTTCCATTTTTTGACCACCCTGTATATAGAACATCTTCAAATGTAAAATGGTTTTGGATGTTAGTCTTAAAAATATCAAATAACGGTTATTAACCATAATTAGGGTGAAATCGATGGTATATTGTGGTAATGTTTTGAAAATATTTTATAAATTATCGAAGGATTGATATCTTTATCATCCCGGGGTCATTATAATACGTGTTTTTAGGAAAGAGAAGAAAATAAACGCGTTTTTTGACCCAACCTGTAGAATGGAACAGTGATGTGATGCTAGACTACGTGACTTTCTATTCGTAAAGCTCTGAAACGCATCATTGTCATTTATGCAGTTAGAACTTATCATTTCAAATCAGACGCGCAGTTGAATTCAAACATTGATGACAACTTACACAGGAGCTTTTAGAAAGATGCATCTTTTGACATTGCTGTTTGGATCGATCCTTGTCTTCATGGTTGGTCACTCACAAGGTAAATATGGCAATCATAAATGAATGGCATTAGCATTGATTTTTTAATTGTTTCTCTGCTCATAAGTTAAGCTGTAGATTATAGTTTGGCTCAGTTAAAGAATATAGTCTCGTTTGACTATGTTCTTTCCGAGTTTGGAAATGAAATAATGTTTGATAGACATTTACCTGTTTTTACTGTATATCTGCAGTCTGTGGCCATGTTAATTCAGCGACATGCAACAGTAATGAACAGATGAAGTGTACGATGTCATGTGATTGTGAAGGTAAGCAAGGGATACTGTATATAGTTTCTCTAAGGATAGAATTAGACGATTGAATAACTGAAAAATTCGAACTGTTAATTGTTATAAACTTTTAATTAGGTGCCTATGCTGAATAAAAGTACAAAATCAACTGCCCTCTTTTGATGAATGCTCATTTATGTCAGAATTAGGAACAACATATCAATATATTCTAATATGTCCCATGAATAGCAACCACTCTTTTTTGTCATTTCCTTGTTTAGTTCATAGCAGTTGAATTAATTGATAAAAAAATAAAAAAGGGCTTTACTAGTATATCATTTCTAAAGGCCCCGTCAGACCGTGGTGGCGTCCTTGCTGCACTGTTGCGACCGTATGGCGTCCAGAAAATGTACGAGGTAACCGGCAAATGTTAACACAAAACGAGAAATGTCCCAAAAATTACAAACATTTTCCCAGGGCGCGTCCGTCACGACCTATCGTGCTTATGGCGTTTCTATAGAGATCTGAACACCAAGTTGGTCGGCTCGTAGCTGACCGCGGAGGCCGTTGTCGCCTATGGCTGGCCAAGTGGTACAAAGTTACGTCGTTATGCTTAGAACCGTAAGGTCGTAAATGTACGACTGCAAGAACGTAAATATACGACCATAAGGTCGTTAATTTACGTCCTTAGGGTCGTTATTATCGGTTCCAAGAACGTAAATTAACGTCCTCATAGTCGTAATGTTTACGACCGTAAGGTCGTAAATAAACGACCGCAAGAACGTAAATGTACGACCATAAGGTCGTTAATTTACGTCCTTAAGGTCGTTATTATCGGTTCCAAGAACGTAAATTAACGACCTCATAGTCTTAATGTTTACGACCGTAAGGCCGTAAATGTACGACCTCAAGAACGTCAAGATTGTGAAAACTTACTGACGTAAATTTACGACCTTACACCGTGTTATACGACCTTACTGACGTAAATTTACGACCTTACGACCGTGTTATACGACCTTACTGACGTAAATTTACAACCTTACGACTGTGTTATACGACCTTACTGACGTAAATTTACGACCTTACGACCGTGTTATTACGACCTTACTGACGTAAATTTACGACCTTACGACCGTGTTATACGACCTTACTGACGTACATTTACGACCTTACGACCGTGTTATACGACCTTACTGACGTAAATTTACGACCTTACGACCGTGTTGAAAGACATTATGGTGGTAAACATAACGACGTGACATTGTACCATTTGGCCAGCCATAGTCGCCATGGAGCCACCGTTGAAAATGTTACAATTTTTGCAACGTCTTTGCCACGTTTACCACATGTGTACCGCGTGTATTACGTTCATGGCAATGTTACCACACTTGTCTCACGACATTCACGACTTTTGTCTCCACGCTTATGGCGATCTTGACGTGCTCGGAGACCATATTTCGTCGCCGAGGCAGCGCAGTTAGGACGCCACGACTCTCATTAAGTTCTTAATGATGAAGTCCATTTTCTTCGTTAACGTCAGCCCAAGTAAACTTCTCATGGTTTACTCTATGATTGATGTTTTTCAGCTAAGTATTTGACCGATTGTTGCGCCGATCCCTCATTCACTGGTGTAATAAACATCAAAACAGGAGAAGGCAAAATATTTAATGCGTACTGTGACCAGGGTTGGACTTACGCTTTTAAACGATTTGACGGCTCTGAGGATTTCTATCGCACTTGGGTTGAGTATCAACATGGCTTTGGTAAAACAGAAGGTGAACATTTCATTGGATTGGATAACCTTGCCAGTTTTGTAAAGGGCCGTAAGTGCAAAGTGCGAATTGATTTGGAAGCATGGCCCCCTGTTTCACCGGCTAAACGATTTGCTGAATATTCAGATTTCTCCATCACTGACAAGACCGACAAGTACCGTCTCACCATTGGTGGATACAGTGGGACAGCTGGTGATTCAATGGCGTACCATAATGGGCAACAGTTTACAACATACGATCAGGATAATGATATTTCCAGTGGGAATTGTGCAAGCCTTTATAAAGGAGCGTGGTGGTACATGGGTTGCCACAATTCTAATCTATTTGGTTTGTACGTGAAAGGACCGGTTTGCCCAAAGTATGCCCAATGTGTCGCATGGAATAAATGGCCAACAAAAATTGCATCCCCTAATAATCAGCACTACTCATTTAAGAAGGCGTCATTGAAGATACATTGCTGTTAAATTCTACTCAAATATTCTGTTCGTTATTTAGTGAAATAAATTACTGAATAATAATTGTTAGCAATTACTTCTTAGACATATTTCAAAAACGGCTATAGGTCTATTTGATAAATGTACTGACATGCATCAAATTAATTTGCAGGAATTTGACTTTTGGGTCACAAACGATTGGACTATTCTAGTATCTAAGTTTCTCAAAGTTCGAAACTACGAATCAATACTTGTTATCAAAATCCCAGGAAAACCTTTAACCTGTTCAACTTGAAATTTGTACAGATGCAAGAGCAGACTAGTGCCAAGATCTGACTAGGTTTTTGGGCATGTTGGGTAAAGTACATAGTTACCATATTGCTCTTGCATTTTCACTGTGTCTTGTTAAACCTATGATCAAGATAATGACCAGAGTGATCTATTAAATTGTGCGATGACCTATAAAGCATGGTGGTACAAGGCTAGTCACCATGCAAACCTGTTCGGTTTGTAGTTGAAAGGACCTGCTTGCCCGAATCATGTCAGATGTATTGCATAGTATCTCATGGCCTTCTATTACCTTTTTTCTAGAGGGCATATATCTAGATGAAGACAGAAAGATATTTTATGAAAAATAGTGTAACGTTAAATTCAGATACAAAATCAGTTCCCCATAAGTCATATTTACCATTGAAACATCTGATATTATTATATACCCCATATGTATTCTAGATGCTCATTAGCTTATTCGTGGTCACATGATATGAAATAGATGAACTAAATCCCTGGAAAGTCCTAAATCCCAGCATATGGTGAAGATAAAATGTACCAATCACCAGATAGGTCATGTGACCAGTCATTAGTACATATTATTATATACCTCAAATGTATTCTAGATGCTCATTGGCTTATTCATGGTCACATGACATGGAATAGATGAACTAATTCCCTGGAAAGTCCTAAATCCCTGCTTTCAGGGAAGATGAATTGTACTAATCACCAGTTAGGTCATGTGACCAGTCAATAGTACATTTTATCTTCCCCCAAATCTGAGATTATAGGAGTTGAATGGTAAAATGCCTTTAAATGCCAATAAGAACCTGTGAACATTTGATATTGAAATGAAAAGACTTCTCATTTTGTTTTTGTTTACAGAGTACTTATCAGGTATATAATAAAACAAATAGTGACTGCCACATTTTCAGGAAATAGTGTAAAAATTTTCCTCTCGGGAATATCCTGTCCACTGACTTGTTCCCTCGGCCTGCAGCCTCGGGAACACTATTTGTACATTATCTTCCCTGCTAGATGTGATTTATAGGAATGACAAATGCCTTTAAATGCCAATAAGAACCTATAAGCATTAAATGTTGAAATTAAATCTCTTTTGATTTTATTTTTTGTTTACAGAGTACATATGAGGTATATAATAAAACAAATAGTGACTGCCACATTTTCGGGAAATAGTGTGAAAACAGCATTGGTTTAGATATTGCTAGATAAGGAAAATCGAGGGAATATACTAAAATCATTTCATCGATCAATTACACACTATCATATGATTCTTTTTTATCAGGTTTTGGTTAAAATATAATTTTATCATTTTTTTATTTTATCTCATTCGGAATTTTGCATGTTTTTGGCGTCTTGACTGTATAACACTTTCAGATCAAAAAAATTGTTTCTCCTAATTTTGAAACTGGGGAAAACCATAATCAATGGTGATTTCTCTTAATAGTCAGTTGTTGACTCACATTATTTAAAGCTATACTCACTGGACAACCTGAACTTTCTCACTCTGTAATGGTAATGCTTTATTGGATAATTATTTATTTGTTTCACTTTTATCCAAGCCTCTTGCTTAGCCATGAAACTGTACGCTAGGACCCGATGATACAGTACGCTAGGACCCGATGATACTATACGCTAGGACCCGATGATACCATGACTTGACAATATAAAAATATAATTCTTTAGCACATGGTATAACCAGGCATTGAATCGTTTTGATACTTCCCTGTATTCGTATTTTGAACATTTCAACTCATTTTGTTTTGTGTTCCCAACATATATTTGTATTTCAGATGTATTATAATTGTATAATCTCTCATGATACCCAATAAACATATTCCATCAACCATATTATTGAAATTGTTCGCAATAATTTTGTTTTAGAATCTAACACATGATACAACCATCACATTGCGACTATGTACAATTATAAAATTACTATATACATTTCAAATGTACATAATTTTACAATCTTAATATTTTACCACCTACATTTACACATGCAAAATTGTGAACAATACTGACAAATACAACGAAATTTTAGTCATCAGCATATAATTTTGGCAAACAAGGTGTTAATATCAGGTATATTGTAACCATAAAATAACATAATAAGCAAATCTAATGACAGTCATAATAGACCATTGTATTCTTCTAATTTTAGAATTCATTTTTTTGTTTTAAGAGTAGACAAGAAAACCTAAATCTCATTAATAACTGATATCGATAAAGTTATCAAAGACATTCATTAAAATGTCTTGTGTGCAATTGTTTTATTGGAAACACACTTTTAATACTTTTCAGCTTTTCCATTTATAGTTTGGCAATGAGCTTGGTGACTTGCTACAGCTGGTTGGAGTCTTTCCCTACAGTATTAGTGACATATAAATACTCTTTCTAATATTGCATTTTTACATGAAATTGAGTCAACACAAATTAATTGATGATTTTGAAAAAATACATGTTATGTACTCTGCCATCTATTGGCATAGGGGTTAGATTGTAGTTATTTTCAACAAACTCACTCCAATTTTTCCATCTACCAACATTCATGTTTGTCAAATGCTCAACAAAAACACTATGATATTTGCTTTCAGGTTCAATCTTTCATTACGTTACAAGAGTTTGAGGCCTACTAGACCTATTGGTACACCATGTCATGAAAATATATTTTAGCTATATCAGGCCTCAAACTACTGTCAACATACATATATGCAAACACTCTGAATACTTATTATGAAAATCACACCAAAATTTCATCAAAAGATAAACATGTCATATTCCACCATTTTGGTGAAATCAAAATTGACTGATTTTCACCAGAATTGCTTTTATCATATGACATACTTGAGTAAGACTCTGCTAGTTTTGGTGCATTTTCCGATTAGCAAAAAATATATAAATAGCTATAAAATAGATTGTGCTACAGTCATACTACATTTATCTCTATGTACAGATTGTTTAGGGCAGAACCACATCAAACAACATATTTTGGGAATTACATATTCAGTTAGTTCAATTGTGCAGAGTGAATATAAATCTTACATTAAAACATAAAACATTAATAGACCATGACTTCCATTGAATATTGTTAAAGATGGAATATACAATAGGCCTATTTAAACTTGTGATACCATTTCTCATTTTGTGATACCAATTTTCAACTTGTGTCACCATTTCTCATTTTGTGATACCATTTGTTAACTAGCCTAATGATATCATTTTTCAACATGGGATACCACTTTCAACTTTACCATTTCCCAACTTGTGATATATCATTTCTCAACTTCTAATACCATATCTCAACTTGTACAACCATCTTTCATCTTCTGATACCATTTTCAATTTGTAATACCATTATCAACCTGTCATACCATTTTTCAACATGTGATATTGAATCTCTATCTATTCTCTATTATGTATTTATATGTACCATTGCTATCCACCAAACAGTGATCTCTCCTAGGGTGCTAAATGCTTACTTAATTATTTCAATGTTTTGACATAGTGCAACTGGAGACTTTTAACAATACAGGGTTGCATGTGATTTTCTATATTCACAACCAGGTGAGTGTGTTAGGAATATCACTAATTCATGTCATGTATTGCTTTTGACTTTAATACATCTGTACATTATCCTTCTATTCTACATTGCCTGTAAACTTATTCTACATTGCCTGTAAACTTATTCTACATTGCCTGTAAACTTATTCTACATTGACTGTTATCAATAATGAGTTAACTTCTCACTAACATAACTTAACATTCACATTTTCTCAAAACAAACACTATTTTCGAAACAAACTGAAAATAAAAACACAAATGCACCTTTTTAAATATGGCAAATTTTCAAAGAATAATAATCATCTAAATTTCATCTAAGGAGGTTAAGCTCCATGTTTTTAAAGGAACTTGTTCATGAATGTAAAGAATATAATGTCAGGAGGATAGAGATAAGTTCTACGTTTTGGAGAATTCATTTGGCCGATTAAGTATCAAGGTATAAGGAAAATAGTTTTAATTAGCCCCTGGAAAACCAATTGAGAGGGGGACAGTGATCACTTGGAGAATAATATTAAATGTTCATGAACAAGTTTTCTTAAAAATATGTAGTTTAGCCTATTGATCATTGCGTATTGGTTTTAAGTGTTAATATATCATATACTGTACAGTTTCGAAAGCCAATCAGTCTAATGCACAGTGACAAAAATTTGGAAATTGGCACAGGTAAATGAATGACCTATCCCCTATTTATTGAGACTGTGCATTAGACTGTAAATATTTACATAAATGTTCCTTTGTTAAAAGCAAATATATAATATTATAATGAACCAATCTATATATTGATCATTGGCTTTTTGGTCTCTCCATAGCAAATAACCATTGATTTTCTGATTTTGTCTTTGCAAAAACTTCCTTCCATACTTGTTTTAGGTAGTTTCCTGTTTTAACATATTTGATCGTGGAGTACTTATGTGATTCCGGTTTGACTATATGATATCAAATAATATATGACCATGTGACATCAAATATTACCATGTGGAGTCAAATGTGACCATATCATGTAATACAGCATTAATTTATGGATTCAATCAAACAGCTGGCCACAATCAAAAATCACAAATCTCAAAATTCGATGTTCTTTCATCTTGTTAAATCCTGCTCTTGTTAAATCCATTATTTCTGTGCATTTAACTCTAATCTCATATTCATTCTGCGTGTTTATCTTTAGAAGCTCACTTCCATATCATCCTTTCTATTTCTCATAAATGTCACTATAATTACAAATAAATATGTGACATTTAGATATCAATTCCTATGAACATAATCTGCAAAGCCTGTTGTAGCTTGGTTCAGAATCTTGTTTCGCCAATCAATGGTAAGCTTAATTCAGTGTCATACATGAAACCTACCAATCATCTTGCTTCCCTGAGCCATATCTCGATCTACCAATGAGCTTGGCTCAGTTTCTCAACTGACCAATCAGTTTAGTTTGGTTAATATCTCAACTGACCAATCAGCTTGTTTCAGTGTCTTAATTGACCAATTACAATCTTACACTATCTCCATAGTGACCAGTAATGTTGTTCAATCATTTTCACAGATATGTCTACCTCGCAATCATTAAATAAACATCAAATTGACCAATCAGCCGCACGTTTGTATCACTAAGCATCTGTTGACCAATCATCATCGTCCAAATCTGAGTCATCTTCTCCCTCAGAATCGCTAACCTCGAGAGCCCGTCTTCTCATCTCAAATGCCTTGTCCATGATGGACTGCACATCAAGTTGACCAGTACCTCCTTGTTTGTGTTTCTCCTCCTTTAACTTACGCTCTTCTACTTTCTTCAGCTTGAAACCTGAAATACATAAACATTCCTCCTAAGTTATTGATTTTGAAGGTTTTACTGTATTAATGTAATATAATCTTTTAGAAAATGCAATTCCATGGCATATTCATACATGTTTTAACTTCTTAATTCTACCTCATTTTGTATTTAAAAGAATTCTACAATTACAATTTGTTTCCCGCTGATTTACATGGAATTAAAATTAAGCTTTTTGCAGGGTGAGGCACTCCAATTACCAAGTATCATTCCTTTAATTTTCTTGAAACTATAGTTAAACTAAATTGTAGTTACCATCTTGAATAGCTTTCAGCAGATCACTTCTAGCATCAGGTTGCTTTGGCTCTGGTTCAGGGGGAGGCATTGTAGATGAGGCATTGGTTGAGTTAGACCCCACAGATGTGCTATCCATAGGGGGTGGAGGGGGTGGGGGAGCTGGTATACCTCCATTAGATACTGGAGATGACATACCCATAGGGGGAGGGGGCGGGGGTGGTGGAACACCCCCTGGGGAAGCACCATCAAAAGGTGGGGGTGTTGGGGGAGGAGGAGGCATAGAGTGGATACTTTGTGGTGTATCAGGGGTGTTAGGAGTGTTGCCACCCATAGGGGGAGGGGGTGGGGGTGGTGGAAGATCCATACTATCTGGCGTGCGCGCTGGGCTGGGGGAGTGAGACTCCCTAATATAATTGCCTTGTGGGGATTCCCTCTGAAGTTGGTTGACCTGGGGGTTGGGATACCTGTGGGTGCTATCTGGGGTACCATGTGGGCTATAACCTGGGGTTCCCTCGCGACTTGATTGGGAGAACCGATCTAATATAGGCATAGGGGGTGGGGGAGGAGGGGGTAAGTCCTCTCTACTGGCATAATGACTACTCTGGGGTGAATTCTGCATTCCCCCTGGGGGTGGAGGAGGTGCAACTGCTGGCCTGTGGGGGCTGGATATTGCAGATGAGGGGGTCCTACTCAAATGTGACCCACTACCACTATGACTACTCTGTCGTGATATATCATACTGTTCCTTCATATACTGATCTTTCACTAGGTTTTGGTTGTGATTGTATTCATTATACTGCTTTTCTTGGTTGTACATCTCACTCTGCTGCATATCTTGGTTATATTGTGAGCCCCTAGGTGGCCCATCACCATTATTATACTGTTGCCTATAGTCTCTATTGCTACCTCCTAATGAGCTAGGATCTGTGGTGTAGCCCTCTATGTGACTGTTACGATCCTCTATATTATTAGGCATGTGATTTTGTTGTATTTCTAAGCTATTAGGACGTGGACTACGATCCTCGCCAGATTGCTGTTGACGCTGCTGTTCCTCTAGCTGTTGTTGGTGCAGCATTTGACGCTGCTGTTCCCTGGGGACAAATTCTTGTCCCATGGCCAGTTTTTGCCAATCTTTTTGTCGATGAGCCTCACGTACAACTCGCTCTCCACGACCACCAGATCGGGGACGCTGAAAGAAAAAAATGTTTATAGTCCTTGTACATGTACCAGATTCACATTTAGAGCATCATGTACAGGGTGACACCAAAAATGCAACTCTCTATTTTTGAACAACAAACTTTGTCAAAAATGATTAAATCTGGTGTATGCTTAAAAATCAATGTAAAATAGATATAAACAGTAACACCCAACACTTGCCAGACAAGACAGTTATAAACTGATGTTCGCTTGAACCAAACTTCATGTAACTCTCAAAACATGAATAAAAGTTATATTGGCATTTTCATGGGTTGCATTTATGGGTCACCCTGTATCATGTAAAAGCATCATGCATAAAAGCATTGTAAAAAGTTACTATGGGTACAAATACTCTGATTCATCATTATTGATTTAATTCACAGCTGAGCATCATATTATAAATACAATGTGGTACTGAAATAAAACAGATGTTCAAGATCATCAATATCAAATTGTTTTAATTGAATTTCTATGCTTCATGCTGCAGAAAACATTTCAAGATATTGATGAATTTACTACATACTATACTTTAGAAACCCATTGTTGCATTTTAAAATCCATCAATTTTATATTCTATTCCTAGGTATATTGAAATACATGTACACTTATGATGGTATAAACCTTGACAATACCTTAGCATTTTGTGTTGTGATTATAGCAACAAAATACATAAAAGTAAAAAACATATGCCATTCAAATTGTATTTGTACCTTTTTGTCACGTTTCTTTTTTATTTCTTTGCGTTGATGCTCCGTGTCTTTCTGCATCTCAGAGACCCACAGTTGGAAGAAATATTTTGGGTCTGTGTAGAATTTCATACTCGACTTTCCATCCTCTCTGAAATAACATGTTTAATTTTCTTTTTTAATTATGGCATGATGATTCCTATGGTAACTAAAGATCTATGAATTTATTTTGATGAAACTCTTCCATCAAACATATGAATCATATTTTTAATATTACAAATCATTGAAATTACGAGCCTTGAGGTGACATCAGATACCTGTGAGTGACATCAAACACCATAAAGTGACATCATAGAAATATGAGTGATATCATAAGCCCACATCTGACATCACAGACCTATGAGTGACACATACACATATAAGTGACACCAATGCCCTATGAACTGTCATAACAGACTTATGAATGACACTATATATCTGTGACTTGACATCAATGACCTAATATGGATGACACCATAAATCAACAAGTGAGTGATTGCAATAGCTCACCATGTGAGCTAATAAGTGACATCACAGACCTATAAGTGACATAACACACGTACAAGTAACAAAGTCAACTTACCTAAACACATCCAGTTTAGCAAGGGCTGGCGGAGGATCACATTGTTGGTAGGTTTCTTGCAGTGCAACAGGCATTGTCTGGCGGATCAACACCTGCTGGTCTTGACTCGGAGTTGCACGGAATGGTTTCCGAAGATTAATATCTTGCAATGACACTGAAATATTTAAAAAAAATAAAATTAGGTAATATATTAATGGTAGCATGACCCTAATAACTCTTAGCAGTTTGGATATTTTAACATTGAATTTGAACATCTAAAATAATTAGTGTTTAGGCATGTATACTCATTAGCTAAGCAGACACTAGGCAATGTCTCCATAGTGGGTGGGCATTCTTAACAACAAATGAAAATTCTGAGAAGTAATTTGTTGAAATATCAGGCCCATAGCCAGGGAGAGGGCATTCAAACCATTCAGTTTTTCATTATTTTGCGCATTTTCAAGTGATTTTGGGCCAGTCTCAAATGTGCAACCACTGGAAGTGAACTCTCTTAATAAAAGCTGGCTATCTCAGTTTGAATATTCTGTTCATTGATATTTATGTACTTTTTTCCTACCTTCTTCAACATTTGAATCTAGTTGAGTGACTTTCACTTTCAGGCGATCAATTCTATCCTGAAGCCTATTGGCCCTATTGAAGAATGAATTTGCATCTTTGGATAGTTCACCAAATATATCCTCAGCCTGGTCACTTAGGTTACTGAGTTGACGTATAACATTTGCGAGTGTGTTGTTTGTGACACATTCTAATTCATTCTGGATACCCTTTGCCACGATCCCCCGACTGAGGTGGGATGGCTCGACCACGCGCTTAACTAACGGCATTTTGACCCCCTCAGTTGCTACATTTTATCCAGATCTGGAAATAGAAAATGAAAATGATTAACAGTGTAATTATAATGCTAAGCAGGCAATAGTAAGGATTTTCCTCATTTCATTTTGACGAAGATCTGTTGAAAAATAGCTTGCCAGTTCATTATGGTACAGCAGTTAACTTTACATTGAAACTGATGCTAAAAAATTGTATCTTATCTTATTGTACGATAACACCATCATAAATAACTCTTCGTTTCCCTTCTCCATTTTTTGTAACAATCAATCACTACTGAAAGACATTATGTAAATAGGACCAAGGATATAAAATAAAATATCATGAGGAACAAGATGATACGAGCTTTAGGATTTTATTTGAGCAAAATTGACCAAAACTGCACAATAAATGCTAGATTTACAGATAAAAAATTAAAAAACATGCAAAAAAATTCTCTAGCAAACTTGTAAATGACCTATCCTAAAGCATCTAAAAATTGCTATTACGTTGAAAATATTATATATTACAATACAGAGCAATGAGGAAGTCATAAAATAAAATAGATAAAGATAGTTCAACAAATAGAAACAACGAATTAACAGGTCAAAATGTCACCACCTGCAAAAGCGTAACAAGTGTTACAGATGCCAAACTCTGATACTGACCCCCAACCACTGGTCACAAAAATAGCACTAAAATTCTGTACTTCCGAGGTCTTACTAACCCTACAACCCAAACCAAACATAGATAAAAATGGCATGTTACATGTTGACATTTTCAGCAGGGGCTACTATCGCCAATACCTTCACTATCTCACATTGAAATACGTATTTCAAGTGTTATGCTAGCTTTAGACGAATACAGACTTCTCAACATGTTTCCTGTACCCTAAAGCAATGGAATCTTACAGAAAGATCAAAGTTATATGTCTGAACAGTTTTCTTTTCATCATGTCGTCCCACATTATGCACACTTTAAGTCTACTTTAATACATCACTAGGGGCATTGGGTTATTTGCTCAAAGGCATATAATCACCGAAAAATACATTTTTGATTCAACTTTTTAATTGTTATTTCATTATGTATTCAATAGGCCTACTGAATGTAAAAATAATGGTTAGACAAACACAATTGAGACAAAATGCCAGTTCATTTAAGTTATCTATATTGTCAAAATGCAGGACTTAATTCCCACCTGACAAACATCCAGATGCAGGGACATATTTCTAAATGGAAGACCATATATCTTAAAATGCAAGACCATATTTCTAAAATGCAAGACCATATTTCTTAAAATGCAAGACCATATTTCTTAAAATGCAAGACCATATTTCTTAAAATGCAAGACCATATTTCTCAAAATGCAAGACCATATTTCTAAAATGCAGGACCATATTTCTTAAAATGCAAGACCATATTTCTTAAAATGCAAGACCATATTTCTTAAAATACAAGACCATTTTCTAAGATCATGTTAGGTCAGATTCTCTAGAATTCAGCAATTTCCCTTTTAAGACATTTAATATTCATAAATGTTTTATAAATATACAATACTTTAAACTGATTTCACATTGCCTCCTATTTTACATTGGCTATTAATATCCACTGCTATTATATCAATAATAAGTACTCTCAATGGCTCCATCACAAAATGCAATCATTTTGAGCTTAATGAAAATTTATTTGTTTCTTTCATGTTGGAATAAATACATGATGCTCGATATATAACCAAACCACATTTATGCGGCAAAAAGTACATGCTTTGCCCTTTGTACTGTAACAGTTGTAGATAGTTAACAGTAAACAGTGACAAAGTTTTAAAACCGCAATGACACAAATGTTGTGCTTCTTAATTTTTTTCTATCTAAAATACGAATGTGCTTAATGTGATTAATCTGTGTACATTTCTATAACAATTTCAGGTTTCTCTTCTCAATCTAAATATTTTACGTTTTACTTAATCTAAATATTCTGCATTTTACTTTCCAACTCAACAATGAGTATTGTGAAACACAGGTCACCACATGCATGGAATCCCCGTAATCCCAAGGCCGTCATTATTTTTCCTAGATGCAAGTATCAATATGCACTGATTGAACCCTCGTACATTGCAATGCACATTTTCCCATTTCCCATAAGGCTCGTAAGATTAACAGTTTAACAGTGAGTAATAATCAAGGAGCAGGCTTAGCACTGCAATACCCGTGATCAAATTATCCGTCTGCTGGCGATAAATCTCCTGTATTTCTTTAAAATTTGAAAGAACTTCCTAATTTTCTTGCACTTCTTCACAATTTAGATCCTTATCTCTATTTCTATATATAGAACTCGCTCCAGGTTTCACTCACTTTGAGCAGTTTTATTTTTTTAAACTGGATCCCCATGTGTAATGTTATATTTACAGCTTCTCACTGGGCTGTATTGGAAATGTGATAGAACTGATGGGTCTTTGTATTTAAGAAGTCAGAAGTGGGATCTTTACTAAGGGTAATTGGTATATCCTTGAAATCTCATTGCATTAGAAAGTATCTAATGAAGAAAAATGTTGCAAATATCTCTGGATGTAGATGGGGGCATTGAGATAATATGAATATATTAAAGGTGCAACAATTCTCCATTTCGCTGTTCGCTCTTTGAATCAGAACGTTCGCATATATGGTGCATATATGTACTCAAAAAGGACAAAATTTGATTGGTCAATATTTTTCAACGATGCATTTCGTGTAGCTATTTGTGAGACCCGAAAGTTCTAAATCAAATTAATTACGCAATTTTGTTTTTACACCCGCAAGCTAAATAAAAAAATGACACCATCGGAATTCTTCTTCTTTGTCATTGAATTAATAGTCAGTATACCAGATTTAATCAATAAAAGATTATACAATTAACAACAAAATTCGGAAACGAGTATGTAAGATTTGCTTTCGAACCACTAAACTTGACCTAGATAATAGCGACGTGTCTTCTTTGGTCAAATGCTCAGTTGTTTGTGGGTTTTCAACGTAACTCTATAATGTAATATGAAGATGAGTACTTTTATTCAGTTGTTGCATCGATGTTACAGTTTGTAGTGCGGTAATATTGGCATGAACGTGTTGAAAGTCGAATGGAATTGCTTTTTCCAATATGGCGACTAGTCACGTGACTTCTTCTCTTCCGGAATATACTCCCATTTTCAATCATTGTTTTCACCCCGTTAGGAGCCAATAAAATGAAAAAAAATATATGTTATATAAAGATTATTAAAAGACTAATTGTTTCTGATAGTTTGTTTTCTCCGATCGCATGGAGATTCGATCGAAAATATCGCTTGAAAAATGGGTATGAAAATCCCCATGTTAAACCAACGGGGAAAAACAAGGTAGAAAAATTTTGTTCCCCCGCGAACTGCATCATGGGAAATATTTTGACCTTATAAGGAAAAACTTTCGCGCCATCTTTATTAGAGATTCAATACTACCGAATCCGCGATTTTAAGAATTAGTGCAGAGGGGCCATTCAACCATCATCGACCAGTGTCAAAATAAATTTAAAGGATATGTCATTAAGACTGAAAAAAAAAACTGGTTGAAAATTATTTCAGCTGATATCCCTCTTGAAACCTGGTGGATTCTTAAAAATCTATAAGTGGGACTCCCTTAATAGAATTTGAGCTTACATTTCTGAATGCTGAAATTGATAGTTTACCCATACATTTTAAGAAAATAGGTATGACAAAGAAGATGGAAAGCCAAATGTTGCCCGGTGGCTCAGAAAAAGTAAACATTTTTATATTTTTTCTTTACAGGGCTTGTTGCCCCTTTAATCAATCTTTAAAAAATATATATTTTATTTATTTATCACAATTGAACTTTTACTTCCTGTTCTGTATAAATGACTAAGGCCTAACTTTCTGTTGTTTTAAATCTGTCCCTGCTTATGGCATGACAAAAAGCTTGATTAAATCAAAGAACCCAGAAACATGTAATAATATGGCAAGATATCTTGAAAATAGTCATGCAAAGTTCACACTGATGTAGGATATTCACACTGATGTAGGATTTCTTTCTGTTAATTAATAACATGAAATCGAACATACCAAAAGTATAGCAGAACAATTCATAAGTATTAGGTACCCAATTAGAATTGTTATGCTCTACCAAAGGTCTCCACCCTCTTGATTAAGACACGATTATATTTCCAAACAGTTTGAACAGTACAGTAAAACTGCCTCTGAAGTAAAGGCTTTGGACCAGTATTTGCTCAAGCTAAAACCGTTCATTTTTTTTAGCAAAAATGAGATTTTTTTTGACAAAATCAAGGCATTAACATGACAAAATATTACTACCTGTTAAGTTATTACAAATGGTTACAAAAGTGTAACAAATTGTCACAGATTTTAAATGCAGATACACAAAAAGGCAGTTGTAATAATATGTCACAATAGTTTGGTAATAAAATTAAAAAAATATATACATGTATTTCGTCCTTCATCAAATGGCCTCATTGCTCTTTCAATTTAGGAAAAAAGTGAAATAGCCTTGGATCAAGACGGATATTACTGTATAAGTGGTAATTTTGCCTAATCATTTAATTTGCCTATTTCCTAATTTTTGCCAGGTTTGGAAAATTAAATGTAGGAAATATTGTCTTTATAATGTTATCCAATGGGAGGTTTCTTGCCATTAGGAAAATTAAAATTAGGAAAATGATGAAATTTGACCATTCAGAAAATTAACCACTCGGATTAAATACCACTTATACAGTATTTGGCCCCAGTGTCATCAAATAGGAAAGATTTATTGTACAGAGGTCCTGCATTACAATTCTATTATCCATGATAAAGGCCACATAAATCTTACCAAATGAACTCCTCCTGACCCTGGAGTTGAATCATATTTTCCTGATCAATTTAGATTATCACACTTAATTAAATCAATGATTTGAATAATTTGCAAGATAAAATATAAAGCTTCAAATATTGGCTTAGCATTGTGACACATACTTCAAGACAATTTGATCACCAACTGTAATGTTATTGCTAGATTTAGCACTAATAAAATCTACTTG